GAGTGAGTCTCAGCCTGACTGGACTGGCTGACATGAGCTGAATTACTTGACATGGACAGAGTTAACCCTCCACTGTACTCGGCTCGGCATGGGGGTTCGCTTAGGGGACTGTGGGTCGTCCAGGGGACTTGACGTGAAGTCTAGTCTGTGCCTGCCCCAGGGTCGTCTACTGAGCATTTGTGGACAGTGGACGCCCCCCTGTCTTTTGGAGTTCACCAGCCCTCCTAGACCCTAGGGCAGAAGAACCAACACACTAGGCTTCCTTCCTACTCTCGTGTACATGCCAGAGATGTGCCAACCAGCAGGACTTAGGGTTTTTACACGACGGTTTTGCAGTCACTTTCCCCAGGCTCACACACAGTACGAAAATATTCTTTGAATTAGAGGAAGGAGACATTTCATACTTAGGGAACAAAGCTGAGCACTGGCTTTGTTTACGGGTTATGGTTAAGACACAAACAGCAGTGACACTCTTAACAGGGCAGAACCGTTAGCAAATTCAAGAACGCAGGTTCTGTTTACAGCGGTATCGCACCAGCAGTCACCGTAGCGACAATTACAGCAACGTATGCTGAGCACCTAAGACAAGGTAAGTCTGTTTATGTGCGTAAATTTTAAATTCCACGATGTCTGAGTTACCAATATTTGACGCCCGTTGTAAAGATTAAGAAACCGAGGCTTAGAAGTTGACCATGAATGTTCTGTACAGCTGTAGAACTGGGATCAGAAGCCAGGTCTGTCTGGCTCCAAAGCAAATATTCTTTCCATGAAACACACTGCCTCCTTGGGCAGGAAGACTGTTTCCTTAGCTTAAAACAGACCCAAATCTTGATTATAAGTATCAGTATGTGAAAATATTGACTGAGCCTTCGTGTTTGCCATAAAATGCAAGATAGGAAATTCTAACCTAAGCACTCAGCTCCAAAATGAGGCTGGATGACTTGAGGTGAGACAAACAAGATGATCCAAGTGACAAAAAAACTGGCCCCAACTGCTAGCTGCTTTGACCTGCCATTGTTCTGAAAGGCAGAGGCCTTTCCAGCTCCTACTCCGACACGTGCTGCCCGTTCAAGAAGTTCCTGCAGGGGCTCCCCACCAGCTACAAAGATCCACTTGTACGCAAGTGTTTCCTGAACTCCTCTCTCCAAACTGCCTTCAGGTTCAGAGTCAAGTCACCTAAGAAAACCAGTCTTATTACTTTGCAGGCATCTCTTATTTGCTTGCTTTTGGACCTCGATTAATACTCAGTTTGATCCCTACTTTATCACTTCTGTCTACTTCCAAAAAAACAAACCCACCATTAAAGAATAAAGACTTCCCACCCCAGTACACGCCCAAGGCTCTTAAAGAAATTCCCCAAATGAGAGTTTTCCAAAAGCTCACAGAAATGACGGACTAGGCATCTAGGACCCCAGGGCGGTTATTTTCAAGGGGACCACATCTGGCTATAAGGCGTTCTGGTGCATTTGTTAAAAAGTCATACTGTAACCTAAAATCTGCAGTTAACTGATACACTGAGTAGGAAATCTTTATATCCAAACAGAAAGCTGCTGACCTTCTTACGTAGACACCGTGGTCAAAGGGTCGCTGGCTCCCGGTACCATCTGGAAAATGTGCGTGGCCTGCTGAAGAGCCTCTACCTGCACCTGTCATTACAAACCTGTGCTCCACTATTTCCCTGGCCTTGAAAACCAGCAAAGTGCTCACCACCAGTAATGGAGGGTTCCTCTGTTGCCCAGAAAATAAGTCCCGGGGTAAGAGTGTCAATTTAGAGCCATCACCTGCATGCTTGTGGGGATGCTGAAGACTCCGCTGGCCTTGAGGGCTGCTTCCCTGTTGTAAGAAGAGGGCTGCTCCTTTCACCATGAAAAAACTCTCACTTAAGCTGCGGGGGAAAAAACCAGAGCGCAGTTAGGCTGGAATTCACGGAGGAAAATGGGCAGAGACATGCTGCAGAGGAAAAGCTGGAGAGTGGCTTGTAAAATGCAAATGGGATAAAATAGCTTCTATGGTAATTTCACACCATACTCCCCCCAAACCTTTGCTACAAGCCTGCTGCTGGAGAGTTTATATAATACAATAATGCTTCGGCTAAAACACCCAAGGTTCTCCGTGGGCTCCTCCAGAGCTAGGAGCCCCATCCTGCAGGATGCTGTAAAGGGACCGCTCTGTAATACATCTTCTTCTAAAAATAGAGACCAACTCTCTGATGAGCAGAGGGTGGCTCCCTTTTTGAATTTCTCGTACTCTTGCTGTTGATCTTTGCTTCTAACTCTCTGAACTTTTTAACAACCTCACTGCTTCTTGGTGTCTCCCCTTTACAGAATACAAGGAAGATGAAATCAACTTTCACTATTTGCATCTTAAGAAAAGTGGGTGGCTATTGACCAGTTTAACTTAGTCAAGCTTGCTGTGTGGAAAACCTGTAGAAAATCTCAAGTTGACCCAATGAATTTCTCAGCAGAATGAATCTTTGGTCTTTGTTATTTTAACAAAGCAATAACATTTATATTCGACATAAAATTTTAAAAATTACAATAAAAAATTTCACTTTCACGATCTGGCTACCAAAACAAAATCTTTATCTTATGCAGAAATTAAGACTGTATAAACCAATGGACTGTATAAGCTATTAATTACCACCAATTATTTAAAAATAACATCATCTCTGAAAACTACACGTAAGATACACCAAAATTAAGTGTTTTTTTTCCTGTGGGGGGAGGGTTGTACCCCCTATAATTATCTTCTATTTCTTAGCATCTTCCAAACTCACTATATTCAGCAAATATTAACTTTTATAAATGATTTTTTAATTTTCAAAGTAATATAAAACATGTACTATACTTTATAATGCAAAAACATGTCATGTTTATTAATTTTGTGAAAGAAGATCACAGTTCAAATTATAGGGAACTATACAAATCATTCATTCTCTCTTCAGCAACCAATAAACAATTTGATTTGAAAAAAAAATCTCTAAGTAACAGGAGTGCTATTTTTCTTTTAATAGAAAGCAAATCAATTCCTGACAGAAACACAAGGACATTTTCTGTAATATAAAAGAGCAAAATCACCACTGCCCCAGACAGCTAATGTAAGTAGTTAAACATTCTCATCCTGGAATTAAAAAACTCAGCTAAGTCTAAAATACAACCCTGGGAGCTAAGAAAACTCACCACATGGACTAGCATTTAAGTCAGCAGCTCCTGGAACTGAAAAACGGTTGTCTTCCATACTATGAAGTCCACAATAAAATCTGTTCATTTTTCTGGTTAAATTCTCACGCTAAAAATCATGACGGCTCAAATACCCAATATGAAGGTTTCAGTTCTGCCCCTCTCATCCGGGCCTTTGAGTTACGGACAACTTGGCTTTCTCTCTTTCCTAAAGGCAACGCTTTACATATGGACAGCCCTTCTTCATCTACCATCATGCATGTACTGCCAAGTCATCCTTTCCACTCTGTGAGTCCCGTATCTGTGCTGCAAGTTTCAAGTGTTGAGGAGCCCAGGACTATAAATAATGGAAGAAACGAGAAGCACCCTTTCTGTGAGTCTCACTTACCCACGGGAGACAAAAAGCTCTTTAGCATCCATTGGCCAACAGAAAATCCAGGTTGTCTAGTTTTAGCAAATTGCAGACTTACCCAACACTTTTCCACCCCTGAAACTTATCACCCACTCCTTCCTTAAAACCCTACAACTGAGTTTGTTTTCAGAACTATGCTGTTTTAGATAGACACGGATCACTTACTACCTATTCTCATCACTGTCTAAAAGACTCCAAAACACATGAAACTTCAAACAACAATCAGTTCATCGAAGCAGCTGGGGGAAAAAAACCTTTGCAAGGCATCATCAACCTCTTTTTGTTCATGAGTTAAAAAAAAAAAGGAAAAAAAAAAATCCATACTGACCAGAAACCTGAGCCCTCTGGAAACAGCCAGCCATTGACGGTGACCTTTGCCTTGGAAATCATGGGCAAAAATTCCCCTTGGTTTCCCTTACATTTCCTTGGGGAGAAAAAAAAAAAAAGGAACAATGCAAAAGCATAGGCTGGTTTTATCCCGTGATCACTTACAAGGCCAGTTGCTCCTCAGTGTTCCTGAGGCCAATACAGAATCACAGCCTCCCAGCTACCCGTGAAGTCTGGGGGCTGTGTGGACAGGGGCCCTGAACACTGTGCCTCTGTCCTCCTCCCGAAATTAGTCACAGGCGTTTACTGTAAAGAGGAGATTTGAAGCTGCGGGGAAGCTCAGAGAACAACACATCATCCCAAGCCCGTGAGATGGTCCTGCATCTGCAGAGACAGTAAGCAGATACAGCAAGCAGATACAGCACGAGGAAAACCTCACTGGATGACTCTCGGAGGCGAGAGGCCACAGAGCACGACAGTCATGGGACTTAGGAAAACGAGACACAGATATTCTTTATGACCCTGTTTCCCGTCTTCTGCTCTGAGCTCACTCTGGGCCCAGAGCCTCCTGCGCCCTGTGGGCGGCTGACGTGAACACTCTCTCCCAGCCAGGGGCCAGGGCTCTGATACAAGAGGCGCAGAACCCGATTCAATTCATCCGTCTCAAGACACCCGGCCGGGGAAGGAAGTCCCTTACGAAATCCATTTCGGGGCTGGGGGTGGGGGCACTCGTACTTTACTAGGTTCTGGGGACAAGGAAACAAACTCACAAAGCACCCATCCCAACTATGAAGAAATCAGCCTTCTGCCCAAAGATGCTGGTGCCCTGAAGAGAGTGACTAAAGCTCCAGGAGGTCAGACCCAGGCAAACAAAATGGAAAAGTCCTGGCGGGGAATTAAGAACAAGTTTAGCCCCTGCCCTACCTCCTCCATCCTCGCCGCTTTTATCTCCACAATACAGATATGTCTCAGACCCCGGTTTTAGGAGATGACACGGGCTCATAATTTCTGCAGGGCACTGCAGACAGACAGGATCCTCCAGAAAACCCCTGCCCTCAGAGCAGCAACAGTCAGTGTCATCCAGAAACCGAGACACGGCAGCGGGGTGGGGGGGTGGGCAGAAATCAGCGGTGGCGATACTTACTTGGGCTGGAAACCTCTGAAGAGCAGAAGTAGGGAGCTGGCTGGCTGGAGGTGCAGACGTCAGTACAACAGAAAAGGTCCGGGACTGCCGTGGTCACATTATGAACTGAACTGCCCCCAGCCCCTGCCTTTCCCGCCCTCCAGAGAAGGATAAACGTCTGAAGAAGAGGTTGGACGGAGCCGTCCAGGAAAGCAGAGTCTCCGTCCCGATGGCGTTCCCACTCAGACGGCAAATGGCTCTGGTGGAACTCTCGTCCTTCCCTGATATTTGGGTTTAAAAAGGCCCTTGTCCCTGCACATCCTGATGAAAGAGGGCCATTCACAGGGAGCAAAACAGCTGAAGTTCCTCTCATCACTTTACTCCTACGGCTTTGCAGTGGGCCTCGGGAATGAGCAGCAGGGTGTGTATTAGAAACCGCGAGGAAAAACAGCTGGTGGCCCAGTAACCCGCCCCGAGCCATGAGGACCCCATCCTTGTTCAAAGCGTCACATATCACCATCCATTCACCCAACAGTGACCGTGGGCAGCAGCCACCATTAGTTATTGGGTGTTTTCACAAGCACTGTTTCGTTCTGGAAATCCTTTAGTCGTGCTAATCACTCCTGGAGGAGGCAAATCTGGGGTGTGGGGGACGGCATTCCAGGTAGAGGTCGGGAGGTGCTCTGAGAACCTCAAACAAGGGGCGCAGGGTGGGCTGCAGCGGGAGGGCAGGTGCGGGCCCCAGAGGGTGTGAGCCGGGACCCCGAAACCCACCCAGCGGGAGCAGCTGGAAATAAAGTAAGCGTGCAACCAACCACAGTGCAGGGCAGGATGGGATGAGTCCCCTGCCAAAGGAACCCTGTAGGGCTGGGAAAAGGAAATGTCTAAGTGATGGGTTCTGGAACATTCTGTGAAGGAAGGGCACTGAGTAGACTTCTGGGAGGGCCTCGTCTGGAAGGTTCTCCCAGCTCCCAAATGATCGATTAATCCTCACACAAGAGGATTAAGTGAAACATACACTACGATTATGCTTATTTTGCAGTTGAGGAAACTTCAGCTGCAGGAGCGTAATCTTTACAAGATGGGATGAGACCCACATCTCTCGGGCCCACGACCACCTTCTTAACCCCTGGAATGCCCTCGCCCCTGCCCGTCCAGAGTGAGAATCAGAGCGGAGACCCTGCAGCCACCTCTGCCCTGCCTGCCCTGACGGCCAAGCTCAGCATCACCAAGGAGTAAGGATAGGACCCATCCCCAGTCCTCCTTCCCAGCACGTGAATGCATCAGAGGTGCGGGAAAGATGCAGGGAAACATCCTCAGAAAGAGAAGACTGGGCATCAGCCCCCGGGGGGCAAGCAGCAGGGCTGCCACAATCACAGTTATGGGACAGGACACATCATTCGGTCCTTCTGGACTGAATGGGGATCCTGGGGGGCTGGAGGCGGGAGAGCAGCACAGCCACGCTGGTCAAGAAGCTGCTTCTCAGCAAGAGCACCGCCACTGCCCGAGCGCCCACCACGTGGTAGAGGCCACACGAGGCTCTCAGCTGTGCCACCCTGTCTAATTCCCAAGCTCTGCGGGGAAGGCCTTCTTTCCTCTCTGACAAATGAAGGAAGCCAGTCCAGCTCCTGAAAGCGTCCCGGGGAGAGCCTGGGCAACCTCATTTTCAACCAAGGCCCTTGGTGACTCTGGTGCACATGGAAGTTCTAAGAAAATACAAGGCACTGGTCTGGGAATCCATATTTCTAGGTTCTAATGCTTGGTCTGTTATGGGTATGTTCTGATATTCACTTATAGGGCTCTCTGTTCATTCATTCGAATAGCCAAATATTTGCAGACTAAGG